TGCTTCTTATTTCTATTCCTCCCTCTTTTCCTTCATGCTCATCCTCAGTATTATTAGCTCCCCATTTCCCCAACCTCCCCTGCTGTACTCCCAAGGAACCATTAATCCAGTTACTATCTCTACAGAGTTCCCTAGCTTAGATTTCATATACAGAAAAACATTTTAAAACCTATCCCCAAATTCGCAACAGTAACAAGCACAACAGATTAAAAACTTAACCCAAAAGGAAAGCAGGACATATTAAAATTAGAACAGATTTAAATGGATCATGTTGTTGTTGTTGTTGTTAGGTGCCATTGAGTCTGCTCTGACCCATGGTGACCTTAGGCACAACAGAACGACAGACTGCGTGGTCTTCACCCTCTTTGCGATGGCTCCTAAGCGGGAGCCCAGTGTTGTAGCCAGTGTGTCCATCCATCTCAGGGAGGGCCTTCCTCTTCTCTTCTTCACTGTTCGTCCACCTTACCAAACATGATGTCCTTCTCCAGGGACTTGCTTCTCCTGATAACATGCCCAATGTGCATAAGACGAAGTCTCGCTCTCCTAGCCTCTAAGGAGCACCCTGGCTATACGTCTTCCAAGAAAAATTGGATTGTCCTTCTTTTATTATTATTAAATACTTTTATTGGGAGCTCTTGCATCTCTTATCACAATCCATACCTCCCTCCAGGGTGTCAGGCACATTTGCACATATGCCGCCATCAGCATTTTCAAAGCATTCTCTTCCCACTTGAGCCCCTGATGTCAGCTCCCGATTTCTTCCTTCTCCCTTCCCCACCAGCCCTTGATAAGTTATAGAGTATTATTTTCATACCTTACATCATCCCCGTCACCCCTCACCCACTTTCAGTTGTTCGGCCCTGAGAGGGGCCATAGGTTGATCCTTGTGATCGATTCATCCTCTATCTTAATCTTACTAGATTTGTAGATTTCGTGTACTTGGCTCCACAACAACGTTCGTGGAAGCAGCAGTCAAAATAAATCAAATCACTGTATAGCCTTTGGGCAAATCTGCTGCACAAGACTTATTTCACATATCAAAGAGTAAAGACATCACTTTGAGGACTAAGGTGCATGAGGTAATTAGTTCAATGTGCCAACCTGGCCGATGAACACATGTGGGGTTAATTGAAGGGTGGAGGGATAAATGGCTCAGTGAGCCTCGCCTTTC